AAGGTCCATTGTGACATTGTCGGGCCTCATGGAATCCTGGAGGCCATGATGACACTTGGAGGCCTCGTTGAATCAAGGGGCTCTGCAGGGCCTCATGGAACCAAGCAGACCCTTCTGACATTGTGAGTCCCCATGGAACCAAGGGTCCATTGTGACACTGCAGCACCAAGGAGACCCCTGTGACACTGCCAGGCCTCATGGAAGCCAGGGACCATTGTGACACTGGAGCCCCATGGAAACAAGAGGCCAGTGTGACACATCTGGGCCTCATGGAAGCAAGGATCCAATATGACACCACCGCTGTGACACTGCAGGGTCCCATGAATCCAAGGGAACAGGGAAGAGGTCTGGTTGGCTTGGCCTGACTGGTCCAACTGCCCTTAGCATGTCGAGGGTCTCTTCTCATGTACCCCTGAAACCCTGGGGCTCTGGGCTTTCCTTCAAATGGAAAAGAACTGTTCTTCTCATTGAAACATCCATGACCAAACCATGATTCCATCTCCAAAATTTCCAGTGTCCAGGGATATTGAGGTGGGTTTATCCTTTGCTCTAAGCCATAAAAACCCCTTCTAACTAACATACCCTTTGCCTCCTTGGTTAGCCAGTAAGACTGGTTCAAAAATTATTTTCTTCCATATCAAAACTTGCTTTCATTTCTATTCCTTCTTCAGATTCTACATTTAAAAATCTTTCTGCTAAGCATACAGATGTGTGGGACTTTCTTGTCAAACTTTCATCTTTTCCAACAGTTGGTGACGAATTTTGCTTTTCCAGAGGCCTCTTTTTTCTTGATCTCTTCAGTTCAGAAATTCAGCGAGAAAAGCTGATTAACATTTGTTCAAAACACCCAAGCAAGACAAGCTCATTGGAATAATTCAAATCTTCAGTTCTTCTGCGGTTAGACAGATGTCAGAAGTGTTTTCAAAGTGAACCTACTATATTGAAAACAATGAATAGAGAATTGTTTTGTCCTGTTTAGTTTTCTTTTCCTGTTTATAGATTGGTATCAGCAGTCCTGAGTTAATATTGATCCCCAACACCTCCTCATGCAGTCTGAACAGATATGAAAATCAAGACCCTTCATGGCTGACAATCAATCACACTTTGTCCCTACCCCCACCCCACCATTTCCCTCATCCAGCCCCTGGCACTGAGAGCAGCTGAGGAATGGAGTCACATCCAGGGGTGTCCCCAGGGCTCAGGATTGGGGCCAGGTCAGTGAAATCTCTTTATTGCTGATGTGGATGATATCGCCAGCTGGGGCCTATGTACAAATCACAAATGGGAAGGGACTGCTGTGGAACGTGCCTTGAGCTGTTTTATTTCTCAGCATCAGTCTCATTACATGGGTATGACAATAGGAAGATGCCAGCAGCTCACATCCCAAGCAGCTGACCAAGAACTTAATGTTATAACTTACTTTATAAGTTTTTTGACCAATCACAGAAAGCAAAAGCACATTGACAGCAGTTCATTCCAACCACTATAAGCACATGTACCTTTGGTTAAAACAATGCTTGCTTATTTTGAATACAATACCTGCTTGTGAGCCTTAAAACACAATGCACAGACCTCCATTATTAAGCTTCAAACTTCCTAATATCTTGCTAGATAAACTTTTCTGTAGCTTAGGAAGGTATTCTAGACAAGCATTAATACACAGACCATTGTTCTATTTGTTCTTACTTTTCTACTTTTTAAATAATTCTTCTGCTGACCTATCTCATGGCTACTGATTACCTCTAACCACAGTTCTGCTGTCTCTGAGGCCTGCCTTGTGCAGCTTCCCCAAAACCCTCTGATTTTGTGGAGTCCCACACTGAACACAAGTTCAGCTATTTTAAACCAAATGCTCACTGATGTAGATAGTATTAGACATGGCACACTGCAAAATAGAGCTACTATAGATTTTTTGCTGTTAGCACATGGACACAGGTGTGAGAATTTTGAAGGAATGTGTTTTATGAACCTGCTCTCTTCCATTCACAGGAAACTCAAACAACTACAAGACAACATGAAGAAATTGACTCTGAATGATTTGGGCTTGGATGAATGGTTTGAGGAATGGGTAATAACTGGATGATTGAAAGATATCTTAAAGGGAGCTTTGTTATTACTAGTAGTTATTATTATATTGCTTTGTGCTATTCCAGCATAGTGAAATTTGTGACCCGCTTGGCAGAAAAAACAGTGAAAAGGATTTGGGTGATGCAAGATGAAGAAGGGGAAATTGTAGCAATGTATCTAAACAACTTGGGCCACACTGTGCACCAGCCATACCACTTTTAGTTATTCTTATCAGAGCCATCTGGAATTAATCAAGGTTACTAAGACATAAACTGTGCTAAATGAAGAATGAAAAGGCTGAGAAACAGAATACCAAGACCACAAGAACTCGATAACAGAAGGCTGTGAACCACCTGGACTGTAACCAATCACAAACTCTGAGAAGTGAGTGCAGGACACATGGACAACGCAGAGGCACCAATGAAGAAGAGTGTGATTGGTGCATGCATTAGGGTTAAAATGTATAAAAATGTGCATAATGTAAACAATAAATGGCTTCTGCTTAATCATACCGGTTAGTAGAATGGGAGTCCTGTTTTCCCACAGTGGGTGCCTGGGAAGGAGAGAGGATTCTTTTCCATAAAAAGGAAAGCACTAAGCCAGCAGCAGGAGACAAGTGACCCTTGCAGGCCTGGGGCCTCATTGCCTCCTTGTCCCTGCTCAGCAGCCTGGCAGGGGCCGCCCCATGCTCCTGCCCTTGCCATTGCACATCCCCACATGCCAGTGCCCATCCCGGCAAGAGCCCTGAGCAAGGAGGGAGGGACAGCATCTGCCTGGCCAGGGGCTGGGGCTCAGGCCTTGGCCCTTGGCATTCCTCAAACACATCCAGCTTTGCTGAGCACCAGAGACACCTTGGCCTTGTTTGTCCCCAGCTGTCATCACTGCTTCCAGTGTTCTGCTCTAACTGGAACCAGGGGACACATTCTCAGAGAGACTTATTAAACTTTTAGAAACTTTGGAGTTTCAATTTAACTTTGAATCCTTGAGAAGTTTTTTGAAAACTCTCTGAGGGACTGGATCTGATGTAAACAACACCAAATCCCTGAGGGGCTCATTAAAGTCATTCTGCTGTGTCTGGGCTGCTGAGCTTTAAAGGAACAGATCTTTCCAGGGCCAGCTCCTCTCCCAGCCCAGCAGGGCTGAGGGCTCTGCCTGCAGGCACTGAGGGGACAGGAGCCAGGCAGAGACAGGCTGAAGGCAATCAGGATTGGGAAGACATTGAGCTGAGACTTCACTTGGGGAAACATCTTCACAGCCCTGTGCATGGTGAGTGTGTGGGTGCAGAGCAATGTCCCCTGTGCTCCTGGAGGGATCTCCTGAAGCCAGCACACCCCACAGCCTGGGGGATGTGTCAGGAGGACTCTCCCAGTTTCTCTCTGGCACAGGAGCAGGAGGAGGAGGAGGATGTGCTGCAGAGCGGGGCTGCCCTGGGCACCGTCAGAGGGACAGGGCAGGACGGCTTCTGCTGTCAGGGACGGCTGCAGGGGCTGAAGCTGAGGCTGCAGCCAGAGCTGCCCAGGGCTGTCCTGCAGAGCAGCTCCTGCAGCCCTCAGGGCTCTTGGCCAGCCCAGGGCATGTGCCACCTGCCAGGGGCAGCTCTCAGCCTGCCTGGCAGCTCCCCATGGACGCTGCAGGGGAGAAGTTGGAGGTGGAAGGAGCCACCCCCATCAGGGCCGATTCCTCCTGCTCTGGAGATGGTGCTGCATGGCCAGGGCTGCTCTCAGCTTTCTCCTAAAGGGAAGGGAAAGGGGCTGTCAGCTGTGTCTGTGTCACTGAGACTCCGGCACTGTCACCCTGGGCATCAGCAGATGGGCCTCAGATCACCCTCAGAAAGTGCCTTCTCAGCCTCCTCTCCCTACAGACAGCAGCAGCAGCTCCTTGGCTTGCAGCATCTCTGTCTGGCCTGCCCTTAAGGCCCTGCTGCCAGGGAGATGCCCCTGGGCAGTGCCCTGTGCTGGGAGGGGGCTGCAGGGCAGAGCTGAGTCCCCAGGGCTGGGCTGGGCTCTGGCAGCATTGGTAGGGACAAGGCTTGGGTAAAGAGAAACAGCTCCCAATAGGCACAACTCCAGGCAGCAGAGAGCCAGACCAATCCTTTGCTTCCCTCCATGTCCTGCTTCATAGAGAGAGAGAGAAGAGTTGGAGAGATTGATTTTGAAACTGGAGTCTTCAAAAAAAGCCATGTTATTTTAAAGAGCAGTTTTTAATTGGTACATCCTGTACTAGAGCGAGGGGAAATGAGCAAAGGGCGCCTGTGTTGGCCCAGCAGGTCTGAGTGCACTGGGGCACAGGGAGCCCTGTTTTCCATCTGGCCTCCCCAGTGTTCAGCCTGAGAGCAATGTTAAGAACAGGACTTTTGTCCCTTCTGAAAAGCACACAGTTACTTTGTAGCCCAAAGCTACACTGAAAAAAAAAAAAGGTAAATGAAATTTCCCCAGAGAAAGAGAAGCAATTTTGAGTGCCTGTGAAAGAAAATAGCATAGGATATACTCCAGGTACTTTGTCCAAATTGTCAATGTTGTCTTTGAACAGCTCAAAATGTCCAGAATGAACAAATGTCCAACAGCAGCTCCATCAGGCACTTCCTCCTGCTGGCATTGGCAGACACGCGGCAGCTGCAGCTCCTGCACTTCTGCCTCTTGCTGGGCATCTCCTTGGCTGCCCTCCTGGGCAACGGCCTCATCATCAGCGCCGTAGCCTGCGGCCACCACCTGCACACGCCCATGTTCTTCTTCCTGCTCAACCTGGCCCTCAGTGACCTGGGCATGATCTGCACCACTGTCCCCAAAGCCATGCACAATTCCCTCTGGGACACCAGCACCATCTCCTATTTAGGATGCGCTGCACAGGTGTTTTGCTTTGCCTTTTTCATGTCAGCAGAGTTTTCTCTCCTGACCATCATGTGCTGTGACTGCTATGTGTCCATCTGCAAACCCCTGCACTATGGGACCCTCCTGGGCAGCAGAGCTTGTGCCCACATGGCAGCAGCTGCCTGGGCCAGTTCCTTTCTCCACGCTGTGCTGCACACAGCCAATACATTTTCCCTGCCCCTGTGCCACGGCAATGCCCTGGGCCAGTTCTTCTGTGAGGTGCCCCAGATCCTCAAGCTCTCCTCCAAATCCTACCTCAGGGAACTTGGGCTTCTTGTGCTAAGTGCTCTTCTATTTTTTGCTTGTTCTGTGTTCATTGTTTTCTCCTATGTGCAGATCTTCAGGGCTGTGCTGAGGATTCCCTCTGAGCAGGGACGGCACAAAGCCTTTTCCACCTGCCTCCCTCACCTGGCTGTGCTCTCCCTGTTCATCAGCACTGCCTATTTTGCCTACCTGAAGCCGCCCTCCATCTCCTCCCCATCCCTAGATCTGGCAGTGTCAGTTCTGTACTCATTGGTGCCTACAGCCCTGAACCCCGTCATCTACAGCCTGAGGAACCAGGAGCTCAAGGATGCCTTGGGAAAACCGGTGACCGCAACTTCAGAAGCAATAAATTCTCTTTTCTGCTACAGAGCCTTTAGAATATAACTCTTTTCAATCTCAGCCTTTTTTTCCCTGTTTGTCTATTCTTTGCTATGGTAACTTTTTCTATTTTTGTAGTGTTTCTATCAAAATACTGTATTGTTACTCTTAGCTTTTTACATGAATATCTACATTTCTTTTGAAATAAAAATACTTGCAAGTGGTCTGTTCCCTTGGTGTTTAAATAAAAACAAGTGCCTGCCTGACTTGTCTGTCCAAGGCATTTCCTGAGCCCTTTCCTGTCTCTGCACGGGCAGTGCCTGTGAGCGGAGGTGCGGGAAACGATTCCCAGCGCAGCAGCACAGCCAGGGACAATGCCCCCGCCTCTTCCCCCATCTGCTCTGCCCAACTCCACCTTGTCCTTGCCAGCCCTGCTGTGGCTGTAAGGCCGGAGCGCTCTGGCAGCTTGGTCACTGTCCTGCTGCGTGTCCCTGCTGTGGCCACAGGCAGGGCCAGGCCATGGGCACTGCTGGGACACAGCTGGGCTCCAGCACAGCAGCTCCAGCAGCAAAGGGCATCTCCTGAGGGCAGGGCAGGGAGGCTTTGCTCCCCTCCAGAGCTCTGTCAGCAATGTGCCCCAGGAATGCCCTGGCACAGCAAAGCCCAGGGCCTGGGGCAGGGGGGGAGTGTGCAGGGGGGGATCACAGCAGTGTCCTGGCACAGCCAGAGCTCCTGACATGGACCTGGGGCAGCAGCAGAGCAGGGCCTGGGCTGTGTCTCTGTTCTGGGACAGCCTGGGAAGGTGCCCCAGGGCAACTGTCCCACACCAGCCCCTGCAACCACCATTGCCAGCACTGGCCTCTCCCCATCTGCAGGACGTTGTTTGTCCCTGCACGGAGGGACACCAAGTGACCAGGCCAGCAGGCCATGTTTGCTCTGTGCTGAGGAGATCGCAGCAGTACATCGTGTGTGTGTGAGGGGAGATGAACCCCAGTGAGCACAAACACCATCAGCAGCACCCAGGGCTGGCACAATTCCAGTGGCACAAACAGGGCCTTGAGGCCGCTTCACTCTGAGAGTAACGTCCTCTGGGAAAACACCTGAATTCTTTGCTGGGTTGTGGTTAGGACTGCATAGAGAGAAATATCCCAGGCAGAGAGGCTCCAGGGAAAAATGCTCAGGGCAGCCATGGACTGCACAGGGAGACATTGGATAGAGTGAGGGTCTGTAGAGAAATCAGAGCTGCCTCCCTTCTGAAACAGCCCAGGGACATGGACAGGGCTGTAATGTGTTCTGGGAACTGACGTGGAACTGAGGGATGTGGAAAAGGCCTTTGGTGTCAGGGCTGTTGAGAAGGCTGGGAAGCGTCACTGTGGGACCTCTCTCAAAACCCTTGGAAAGGCCAGAGCCATCCCAGACGGTCCTGGGCACTTGGGAAGGGCAGACATGGAACTAGTCTGCAAACAGGGCAGGGAGGGGGACTGGGAGAGTCACAGCCTGCTCAGGCTCAGCAGGGAAGGGGATGTGGCAAATCCTCCTGCAGCCATTCCAGGCACTGGCAGGACAGGGCAGGGACTGCAGAACCCACGTGGGAGAGAACAGAAGGGGATGTTGTGTGCCCAGACTTCAGCCAGGCCTGGGACAGGGTCTGCTGTGGTATCCTCAGAGCCAGACTGGAGAGGGCTGGGCTGAAGGAGTGGAACATGGGCTGGGTGGGAATTTGGCTGAACAATGAGGGTCAAATGTCATCCATGGTACAGAGTCCTCTTGGCAGCCACACCCTGGTGACATCCCTCAGTGGCCAGCCCTTGGCCACCACTGTGGAACATTTCTAGCGTCTCTAAAATGGCATGAAATGTACTTTCAATTCCTTTATGAATGCTGCCAGATTGAAAGGAGTCTGTGACTGAACTCATCTCGTTAATGGTGACTGCAAACTGTAATTGGGCAAGGTGACTGAGTTGGGTAAATTTGTCTTGCCATCAGGTGCCAAGCAAGCCACAATAAAGGGCAGAAAAAACTTATGCATCAGAAGAAAGTCAGTTCAATAGGGAAAAACCCATACCCAAACAAAAAATAAAAACCCCAAACCCAATCAAAAAAAACCAAAGCAAGACCCACCCACAACAACACAAAATCCCCACAAACAAACCAACCACAAAAAGAAAAAGCCACAAATAGAAAAAAATCAAATTCACAGGATATCTCCAATCAGCAGAAAATGTTTAACCAACTTCTGGCAGGAGAGGATTCTGTATGTGTAGGTGCTGTTTGGAAAGAAAAATATCTGAAAAAAGAAATTAATCTCCTAATCCCCTCGTCCCCCTCCCCCCCCCCGATTTGATTACTGATCATGGTGTGACATGGAATGGAACATCCCTTGGGTCAGTCCAGCCCAGCTGTCCCATCCCTGTTCCCCAGGAACATTTACCCACCCCAGGCCCATAGGTTGGAGGGGGTTGCAGACGCCTCATGCGGGGCGAGCACTGAGACAAGGACAGGAGACCAGAACAAGATTTACTCTTGTCAAGGACAGTAGAACAGAACAGCTCAGCCTTGGAGAAACTGATTGAGGATGCACCTCTGGCAAACAGAAGTCACACACAATACAAGCAGGATGCCAGCACAGCTCTGCAAGGCTAACACAACAGAAGTTATGCAAAATAATAATATTGCCATTACTCAAAGGAGGAGTCAAGGAAGAGCCACCTAAAAAGGGCACTGGATGTTGAAGACAAAACCCAAAGAACCATGAAAGGATTTGTGATAAGGGGTGCAACTATGTCAAATAAACTCAAAGGAAGTGGGGATAGCTCATCAATACAGAATGAATGTGTGTGATAAAAACTCTGATCATTCAATGCCTAATGCACTCCAATGGAGGAAGGATGGCCCAAGTGACCACCATGCTGTAATAAAGAATACCTGCTTTCAAATATCAAAACTCTGTTCAGAAGTTTCTATCCAGTGGATTTCAGTATCAGTGGTGTCCTTGACTCCATTGTGCCCCACAGCTTCACAATGGCTTCTTGGTTCCATGAGGCCCTGCTGTAGAACAATGGACCCTTGGTTCCATTGGGTTCCGTACTGTCAAAATGGCCTCCTTGGTTCTGCACTGCCACAATGCTCTCCTTGGTTCCACAAGGCCTTGGTGTGTCACAACAGCCCCTTGGTTCCATCAACTGCCAGAGTGTCACCCTGGTCTCTTGGATCTGCAGGGTCACAATGGACAAGTGGTCACAAGCATCCCTGCTGTGTCACCATGAATAATTGGCTCCATGGAGCCCCACAGTGTCACAATGGCCCCGTGGCTCCACGAGGTTCCACAGCATCACCATGGTCTCTTTGGATCTGCAGTATCTCCATGGACCATTGGTTCCATGTGGCCATGCTGTGTCACAGTGCTTCCTTGGTTCCATTAAGCCCCACTGCATAACAATGGAATCTTGTCCTTTGAGGTTCTGTACTGTCACAATGGTCTCCGTGGTTCTGGACTCTAACAATGGACCCTTGCTTCCATGAGGTTCCATGATGTCACAATGGTCTCCTTGGTTCCACAAGGTTCCATGATGTCACAATGGTCTCCTTGGTTCCACAGGGCCTTGTTTTGTCACAATAGACCCATGGTTCCATAAGCTTACATTCTGTAACTATGGTCTCCTCAAATCCACATTGGCACAATGGACAATTGGCTCCATGGGCCCTCCTGTGTCACAATAACCCCTCAGTGTCATGAGGTTCTGTGGTGTCACCATGGTCTGCCTGGTTCAACGAGGCCCTGGAGTGTCACAATGGCTACTTGGTTCCATGAGCTTCCATAGCATCAACAATGGCCTCCTTGTTTCTGCAGTGTCACAATGGATCCTGGCTCCACGAGGTCCCTAAATGTCAGTGGTCTCCTGGGTTCCATGTGGCTCTGCTGTGTCAACACAGCCCCTTGGTTCCATGAGTTTCTGTACTGTCAGCAACAGTTTCTTTGTTCCAATGAGGCCCTGCTGTGTCACAATGGACCCTGGGTTCCATGAAGTTCTTCAGTGTCACAATGGCCCCCTGGATCCATGAGGTCCCACAGTGTCTCCATGGTGTCCTTGGATCCACGCTGCCATAATGGGCCATCGGTGCAGCCGGAATAGCAGCTAATAAAGCCCAGGGTAGGGAAGCAAAAAGGGCCTTTGCATGGAATCCACAGATGTTTAATTCAGCCGTGCGGTGAGATGTTCAGGGTCACAAGGCAGGACTCCTGAGAGGAGTCCAGGTTTCTGTATCTCCAAAGGAAGGGGTTGATCAGTGCCATGGGGGCAGTACAAAGATGGGGCCAATGGGGGAATGGGGAGGGAGTGGCTGAGGGACACAGAACAAGGGGAAGGAGCCAATGGGGTCGCACAGCTTTTGAGGGAAGCTTCTTGTGTCTCTCTAACACAGGGCATGCCTCTCAGGGTCTCCACAGCTGCAGAGTGTGAAAATGGCCTCTTGGTTCTTTTGGGCTCCCCAGGATCCCAGTGGCCCCTTGGCTGCATGAGGCCCAGCTGTGTCACACTGGCCCCTTGCTTCCATTGGGCCCCACAGTGTCACAATTGTCCCTCCTCTTAGTTCCATGAGGCCCTGCAAAGTCACAATGGACCTCTGGTTCCATGAGTTCTACATTGTTCAATGAGTCCTTAGTTCCATGGGGCCCTGTAGTGTCACAATGGTCCCTTGCTTCCATGGTGCCACACAGTGCCACAATGGCCCTTTGGCCCAACAGGGCCTCATAGTGACACAATGGACTCCTTGGTTTCATACGGACACAAAGTGCCACAATGGCCCTCTGGTTTCACAAGGCCTCAAAGCGTAAAAATGGCCTCCATGGTTCCATGATGTCCTGCAGCAGAGCAATGGTCTCCTTGGTTCCACAGTGTCAGAATGGCCCCTTTGTCCCATGGAGCCCCACAGTGTCGCTCTGGTTCCCTTGATTCCATGAGGCCCAGAGGTGTCACAATGGCCCCTTGGTTCAAATGGGTTCCAAATGATCAGATCGGTCTCCATGGTTCCATGAGGGCCCGCAACCTCCCAATGGACCCTTGGTT